CACGGAATATCGCATTAGCTTCAGGCTTAGACTCCCTGCGTGGTTTGAGATAGACGAGGTGACCACAGGCGTGAAGATGCCGACTATCATCCTGCAGACGTGGTTTGAGATAGACGAGGTGACCACAGGCGTGAAGATACCGACTATCATCCTGCAGACGTGGTTTGAGATAGACGAGGTGACCACAGGCGTGAAGATACTGACTATCATCCTGCAGACGTGGTTTGAGATAGACGAGGTGACCACAGGCGTGAAGATACCGACTATCACCCTGCAGACGTGGCTTGAGATAGACGAGGTGACCACAGGCGTGAAGATACCGAGTATCATCCTGCCGATGATGTTCGAACATAACCGAGTGGAACCCAACACCTTTGGGAACGCACACAAATGATGTTGATCAATGCACTTAAAGTACTGTTTTTTTTCTCAGTCTGGTAGGCAGAGGTTCGCTGGTGAGGTTTTCACGCACCAGCCCGCAAATTGTATTGCCTGCAAACTGGCTGCCTCTGAATCTATCCAGCCTGGCATCTCCAGTCGAAGAAATTAATGAAACGAGATGAGGGGTGTAGTCTTACAAAATGAGATGATGAGGTCTGAGAAAGAAAAAAGTGTATACCTGTCACAAAAATGCGTCCCAAACCAGGTTTTTCTCCGACTTTGGCCCCATTTCTCTTCAAGGTTGGGAGGGAGAAAGCCCTTCCAACTAAATAGGAAGCCACACCCCTGATCATAGTGATTTATTTGTTAATGGCCACCAAGGCATTGAGAACAACGGAATATCTTGGGTTAATATCACTCACCATTGAGTGGACGGCACGCCGGTTCCGCTTCATGATGTCATCTCTCTCTCGGCTGATGTTGCCGTGCTGCATTTAAGACCGGTTTCGACAAAGGCCACATCAACCGTTCGTCGACCACTTGTCGGCGCACTAACGGGCTAGGCAGGATTGGGGTGATGCAGCGAATTGGCGATAGCACAGTCATCTACGTTGTGCAGTTGTTTCCACGCATTCTTCTGTTCCGGCCGCCGACATCCGGTATCAGTCTTAAAAGTCTCCGAATCGGGTGGGTTGATGGATTTCGCTCGGATGTGACAACAGGGTGAGCACGTTGATCTGCTCTATAGTCATTGGCAGTGCCCATTTGCTCTCCGACAACCGTAGTTGGCACTATGTGGACACCAGCTCGTCTAATATAATCTGGCTTTTACTCGCGTTTTGGACGCCTTTCGCAAGTTGCAAGCTTTACGTTTCTCACGTTAATCGAATGCGAAGATTGATTTTTGTTAATACTGGAAGTTGTAAGTTTTCACAAAAATCATGTCCGGTTAGACGGTCTGGCGCAAGCTCTTTAATTGCACGCGAAACTACATTACACAAATCGTGCTTCTTCCTCCTTAAGTCTGCATGAAGCTATGGTCAGCGAGTGGGAAATAAATAGCTTCCGGAAAACGTGGCAACCGAGCGTGCTAAAACTGAATTCTGTTTGCTGTTCGACGACGACACGGTAGGCCCTCTCCGTGAAGAGATACCTGTGGTTTGGGAAGTAGCGTCGTTCGGGGAACGCACCGGTGGCACAACGTGAGCGAATATGGCTTCTGCCCAAGCAGCGCTGCGCACAGCCGCGTATTGAGATACAACCACGGGTGCAACCGCCAGGTGGGCTGAGCAGAGAGGCATGTCCACCGTAATTTTCTTCGCCCCCTTCCCCTCCCAACCGTGCCCATACTCCGCACGTTTTTGTACGTTTTCTTGTTAAACACTGTTTAGGTCAGGTTTTTCCCGGATTCCAGCTTGATTCCTGATTTGTCTCCTCTTCAGATTGACTCCTGAAATCGTGATTATCTCCCTCAGTCCCTGAGACGTCGCTTCACGTATGGATGCAGCAACGGTACGGCCAAAGGTTTGCGACGGGAAAGCGACGAGCCGTATTTGTGACAGCGTTTTGAGGTTAAAGGTCGGAGGTCATATAGTCCGGAAGCGCCGTAATGTTGATAAGTTCGATCTTTACCGCAGTAAGCTCGGGCTGTATCCATCTACCAAGCCGTGTCCCCAGGTCCTCGGTCCTGCTGTAGGTGTCAATTCGATTTCTCCTACCAAAATTTGGGGAAATCTTTCAAGCCTCAGCACCATTGGGTTCCGTTAGTTCCAGTTAGTTTCAAGTTCCATTAGTGAAGTTCCGTTAGCTTCACTAATGGAACTTGAGTTCCTTAAGCTCAAGTATCCATTAGCATCAAGTTCCGGGTAGCTTCGCGTTCCATTAGTGAACTTCAAGCTAACCGGAACGGATGCTACCCCGACAACCAAAAAAACGGCAAAGATGGGATTTTTCACACACAGCCTTTTCGTTTCACCTGGAGAGGATCTACGCCGCATTATGGTTAGATGTCGCGACGGCGCTCCTTCCCATTGGGTGTTGCGTGGCGATCTGACTGACCTAGATTAACTCTCCACCAGTCCCGGCAGGGGCAAAGCTTTGGTCGGGCCCAGGGCTGTCTCTATCAAGGTCATGTCAAAGATGTCCTTGCGATTTACGCCGAAGTTCAGCACTGACTCTCCCTGTCTCGATACTGTTCGGAGGCTCGCTGTAATGGACCTTTTAGATTCTTGAAACAGGGGTAATGCCTAGCGATCGCTTTTAATAAACCTCGGCGGGGGGTATTGGGCACCCACAGCAGCGTGACTGTGAGATCAGTGATCAGTGACATCGTTTTGCGTAAAAATTTGGGATATTTCTTGAAGATCGATCATCAGTAATGCAAAACAATTGTGCTCTGGTTGCCGCATTGACGAAGCGGAATGGGAGTAAACCTGTCGGAGAACTACCGTTGAAAGGTGTGTAGATACGTTGTCGCTTGGGTGTTCCTATGACAAACAGGAAATCAGACCTTCAAAAGCTAGTGTTCAAGAAGCAAAAAAGACATCCGAAAGTAGCAGTATGCAGCGAAAGAAACTTGCAACACTAAATAAGCACCGACCTGCCATAAACGTTTTTGTGCTAAATTTCTCTGGAACGATCACAAGTGGTCGCTTAACACCAACAGCTTTCCAGGAGCTGAAAGGTTCGCAGCTTCGCGTTTTGTCATCGTCCGTGACGCTACCGACTAAAACACTGCCACAAAGATTTCACTGCCCAGCACCCGCCTATCACAGGGCCCAGGCCAAACAGGCCGGCAACACCTGGCATAATTACCACCGAGCGAAATAAAACGACTAACAAATATGGCATCAGCGAATCCAATGCACGTGAGCAGGCCACAAAAATATTCGCGTTTAGCTTAATCTTATGTTTGGTTGCGCCAGCCCATGAAGCAGATTATGATGAAGAAATAAACACGTTGGCAAAGTTTGAGTAGGTCAATGATATTTAAACATGCGTCATTCATGGGATGAAAATACGTATACTTCAGTAGAGCGCGGACTTGGGAGACAAGAAAAAATACTTAATTTGACCTTGGTTCAAAAGGAAATGACCTTGACCTTAGTCCTTGACCTCTGCTGTAGCTCAAAGTGCAAAATCCTGAAGGACGCGTATAGACGAGCAGACATCGTTTGAATCGACTAAATGTGTCTTGACTGGCAAACAGAAGATCACCTATCGCAGAATACTCACGTCCAAACCGTGACAAGCGTTCTTCACTTCAGTATCCCGACAAATCACCGCTCATTTAAAAAAAAACAATTGATGACATCAAAAAGATGTGAGGTGTGTGGCCGTGGTACGTGCGTAGCTGTATCATAGTTTAATTGAAATGTAAGCGGTCGTGTTGCATTTTCTGCATCGAGTGTCATGGTAGCCTCATGTGATATTTATGCAGATAGATCGGTACTAAGCGACCATCAATTTCTTAGGAACCGCAGGCTGATTGAGATGAGCACCTGAAAACTCTGCATCGTTTGATTTATTGGCTGGGCCATGTAGCACACGAAGCAAGGCACCCCACGAAGTGATTTATGTAGAAGACTAGCTGCGGACGTAGTTTCGCAAAATGGTTCAGGAATTCCCCCCCCCCCCCCCCTGATTGTGTTGTCTAGAGCAGTACTTTCCACTTATAAGTGTAACACTGTTCAAAGGTGAGCTTGCCCCGTCATATCTGATGCTTGCTTCAATATCTTCAAATCCGGAGCATTTCCTTAAAAACAATCAGAAGCGGAAACAATTAGTGCTACCCGATTTCCTGCTGGACAACCTGCTGCGTATCTGTGATCATTTAGAACAAAGCGGATTTCGCTCATGAAAGTCATATGCTACTTGCAAGCCTTCTTTGCATTAAGTCAGGAATTCACGTATTTATGTGTGTACGAAGGTTTGTCGAAAGCTTTGGAAATGCAGATTCGCACCTGATCGTTGCTCCCGCCAGCCGCACTTTTCTCACGCCGCATAACTGTAAAGTTTGGGCTTTAAAATAGGCCCCATAAAACAGCGCCATAGCATGTTTCTGGTGACGGGATGCTGACGCTAATGCGCCGATCCACTCATCATATTATATACCGCTTCATGCCCATAATCGAAACTAAACATCAAACATCAATCGGAAGTGAAGGCAAGCAGCGTATTAGCAGCGATAGCTAAACAACTATTGCAAAAGTAACAACACTCACTGTACTGCATTTTGGGCGCAGAAAATCGTTTCTTTAATTGTGTCTACAACCTGCTTGGTGATCCAACATGCAAAATAATAAAACTGAACAACTTTTCGGTAGACATATTTCTTTAAGCAGCTTTTTTGCTCACACCATCATTAAATCAGATTTTTGCATATTCTTATTGGTTCCCCGCTGCGCATATAAGCTAAGAGTATAAGCCTCCAGCAGTCCTAAACGTAGCCTCTCCGAGCGCATAAGACATGTCAGCCACGGTTTTACAGACTTCCCGGATTCCAAACGCACGTAGCTCCGCCCTCTGTGCCGTGATTGGTCGGTGGGCGGCACGTGACTGACCACCGCCAGCGCCTTCGACGCAGCGTCCAGCCGCAGGAGTCAGTGCTGCTTGGAGCAGCCGTGTGGAGGGTGTTGGTGCAGGGCGCTCCTCGCCGGGAGTTGCAGGTCACTGGAGTCAGCGTGAGGTCAAGAGAGGTCACGGCTCAAGTGTAGGGGTCAGACGCGAAACTCGACGGAGGTCAGCGTTTTTTTGTTTTGTTTTGTTTTTAATCGAGGCGGCAGGTGAAATCAAAACAGGCAACGGAGACGGACGCCGAAGGTCCTCCGAAGATTGGCAGAGGTCACTGAAGGTCACCGGAGGCCATCGCGGGTCGCCATGATCGACAGCGACCTCTTCAGCTCGTCGGGTAGCGAGAGCTCCGATTTCGGCACGTACAGCGAGACGCGGCCTCCACAAGCCAGCTACGACGGCAACTTCTTCGATCCGACTTCGAGCCTGGGGCTGCAGCAGCTGTCGTTCCTGCCGCCCGCCTTCTACTCGGAGGAGCCACCGCCGCAGTTCCAGTGCCACCCGATGCCGCAGGAGGCGCCGGAGCGCCGCAGGGCCGGCCGGAGGAGGAACCACAACCCGCCGGCGGTGGAGGTGGTGAAGAAGAGGAGGACGGCCGCCAACGCGCGGGAGAGGAGGAGGATGCACGGGCTGAACGACGCGTTCGAGAGGTTGAGGGAGGTGGTGCCCTGTCTGGGCAGCGACAAGAAGCTGTCCAAGTTCGAGACGCTGCAGATGGCGCAGACGTACATTTCGGCGCTGCAGGAGCTGCTGAAGAGAGGCAGCTAGCTCTTCCGCTGCGGCTCGCCGCGGCCGCGCGGTGCGGGGGGCGAGGTCGTTGGAGCCTGGAACTTGGGGTCTGTCTCGTGACGGACTGTACATACATGTCAGGACGCCTTGTGCAATGAACTTCGTGGCCGTTTGCGGCAGAATGGACGCGCGCATCTTGGGGGCGCGGTGCGAGGATGGGCTTGGCTTTAAACCACGGGAGATCCACTTTTTGAAGGACTCCCGTCTGGGTATCATGAACCCAGCTAAGTTGGGCTGGGCAGGATAGTGCTGACCGGGCGTGAGATTATTCTGTTATCGAATTGCGTGCCGTGCGAGTGACGTTGTTAATAGGTCGGGTAAGCTCTGGCAGTGTGCTCGAGGATAGATGACAAACAAAACTCAGATGATACTGCTATGTTCTGTGATAATACGCGTGTGTTTTTGACGGAATGGGTGTATAGTAATGTTGAGTGCCTTCATACGAAGTGCATATTTATATTTTGTTTTATTCGTGTAAATTTTGTCTATGGTGTATACCTACTGCTCAATACACTATGACCGCATTAATTTTGTTTTCCCGATTTCGGAATCCGCGCCAGGATAACTCGTGCTATCCCCACCCAAGGCGCCGCCTAGCGTCAAACTCCTGAACTGCATCCCTGGCACCGGTCATCTCCGACTGCAGAATACGGCATCGCGCAGTCCGATAAGTAGGGCATGATATGCACGATACGGCATCGTGCCCTGCGCACTGAAAGGAACATGCACGTGCACCCGACTGATCCGGCGTGGATACCCATCTCGCCGCCGTGACCTCAACCGGTCGGACCGGTGCTCCCTTCATGGCCGGGATCGCCGCTCGCCCCATTCGGGCAAGATGAAGTCTGGTATGGAACCTCGCCGCCGGTCAACCCACTGCCGCGGTCGCCGGTGATTGGCTGCGTAGCTATCGTCGCTGTGCAGGAAAGCTCATTCATTGCTCGATGAGCTTTCCCGCTCTGTTGTCGTGGGGATCTGGTTTGCGCGTGTTTTGTCTCAGCAGTAGGGCTTACGCAGCGAGATTGTAACTCCTGTAAAGGTGAGGTGCAGCTACGAGCGCGGGAGTTCGCCTTGGTACATGCAAACAAGCTCTGGTTGCATGCATAGATGCCGCATCATTACTTTTATCGGTTGCAGGAGTAACGTTCCGTTGCCCATAAGGTGAGGTTATCACGGTCTAATTGATTTCATTCCATTTTATCAGTGTGCTAGAATAGTTAACTAACGCAATTATTACTGTATGTTTTCATGATTTCGTCCTTTGCTTCATCATTGGTGTTTACTAAATCGCAACAAAAACACTCAGGCAACTCTGGGTTAATTAAGATTCCCGTATCAAAACACTGAACTGTGTTGAATAAGTCCAAAGCGTCGTGGGTCGTCCTTTGTTTGACTGCAGTGGTTCAACTCATAGCTTCCCTCCTAACAGCTTCCTTCTTGGAAGCTTTCTTCCTATGAGTAACAGTCTGCTGTCCATGGCCTGCTTTTGTCGCTATGGCAGCGGCCAGGTACCAAGATTTGTTATCTGCAGCCGCAGACCGCATCATTACTAACCCGATGAGACAGCAGCAGCACCAACGAAATCAACGCCCACGCAAATCCAGCAGCTGGGCCGTTGTATTGAAATCGCACGTCCAGCAGCGGACAGTCCTCGTGCTTACCGATCAAAAATGCAAATCCTCGAAGGATTTCGCCGCGGCCACATTCAGTTCGCGTTGCGCGGGTCGAGGTGGGTGGGAGAGGGCGGAGTGCGGTTCGCCACTGGAGAGGCAAATAGGCTTGCCCAAGACACAAGGAATGCTGCCGAATCCGAGATGATTTGTATGGCCAGCCTGGGGCGGGGGTACCACGGACATTACAAATTACAAGGAGCTACAGGTCAGACAAATGATGCGTTGATGTTAATGACGCCCCCGTGACAGTAATGGCGCTGAGCTCGACCGCAACCAATGTCAATGGTGCGCTGTTCCATTTGTGTCCTCTGTTCCATGCACCTGGAATAAAGTAGTCGTGCGGGCTACAGACAGATGTGCATCGGTCGATGTTTAAGGCTCATGTTTTTTAATGCCGTTTTTTTTGTTAGTGTTCGCTTGAATGGTTCGTCGCGCTGGTAAGCCTTTAAAAAGCGCATTTTAAAGTTCGTGAAGGCATGTTTTTTGTCTCAAATGAGGATACTTGTGATGAGTCCATATTGACCTCTTCGAAGTCCCTTAAGCTCCAGAGATATTTCATGGAGAAACCAAAACTAATATACGCATTCAAAATAGTGTTTCATGGAGCAGCATTTTTCGCGTGTAAGCTCCAAGGCACCTGATGACGTCATGCATACTTCTGGCCCGAAAGGTGAAAAGCAGAAAGAAATAAAAAAGAGCAGCAAAAAGGAGAGCCCTCTCGGGGGAGCGGGAGGGCTAACATTTATCCGAGTTTCTAGTACCTGATCCAGTTGACACATTTAGGAAACGAAAATTTGATGCCACGTCAAACCACTGAGTAATGACGTCATCGCGAAACATCAGCACGGCGATTGTCCTCTAGGTTCGGTGCTCCGCAACTTGCTCTTTGGTGCGATCTGCTGTGATGCGTTTCTTCGGATTTTGTTGTGACCGTCCGCTAGTCACGGTTGACCTTGAAGGTGACCTCCGACTCGTCTTGATTTCCGGTGGCAATTTAGTTACGTTATACGATGTCGCGCCAAATAACCATCGGAGGTCAAGTGCATTCAAATGATATCAGTCGGGCCAAGATGATTTGTTGCGACTATCAGTAAGGTATAAGTCAGTATAACCCTTACATTTTCGGGCCAGTGATTCCTTATGTCCTGTTAGTAGGAATCAGTTAAGATTCTTGCTTGATGACCCGGCCCTGCCTCGACCTGACAGGGCCCTAACACGGTCTCGATCCATAATGTGTGTCATCAACATGGTGTAACGCTAAAGCACAAAGCCGTGCTCGTTCACTGAAAACTAATTGCAAGCCTGCACGTCTATTACGAAGCGATCCAGGTGACCCTGAGGCCGTTCCAAGATTTTGTGATCTTTAAGGCATTCATGCGACCTATGACGCCATCAGTTGCGAAGCAAATGCGGCTTGACCGTTTCTGGATCTTCTTACCAGCGCTATCGATAGCAGTTTGATTTCCCTGTTCCGGCTATTAGATGAAGATATACCAGTTCTCAAACCCCCTCAGGTGGGGGTGGATAGAGAACCCCCCCCCCCCCCGCCGGTGTTCCGCGCAGGGTTGCGCCGCGGTGCCGACTTAAATGTAATGAAAGTTGCGACTCTGCACGGTCGTGCAAAACCCGGAAACTGTTGGACGCATCCATGCGATAGTATGTTTAAAGCTCTGCTGGACGCTGCAATTCTTTAGCATCTTCTGGCAATTCAGCGTGGCAATTCTTAAGCATTTTTACGTTTTCCCTTCCTTCCACTTGACCCATTACCGTGGACACATATCATAACAACAATCCACCGCCATCTTAACCGTTGTCGTATCTCCGCATAGCTATTAATAACCAGTCGGCATTTATAAGCGGTGTCATATTACTGGATAGTATTTGCCGAGCTCGTCTTCCTTATCTCATACCGAGTCTGCCCACCGCTGACACATTGCAAATGTGGAGGGGCCCGTACACAGCAGCCCCGCATAACAATTACCTGCCACTGGTGCAGGCTGTATTTATTAAAGATTAACAGTTAAAGATAAGGTCAGCTTAGAGGCTTTGAAATCGATTTCTGTGCATGCAGGCCGGTGACGGCGGGACGGGAGTTCCGTTTGGAGGCAATTCGGTCAGTACGTCCTGGAACGTACGGTGTGTAACTGTGCAATGGCATAATGCGGCATGTGCTTGACTATTGCCACGTGCGTCCCCAAACAACTTGCATTGTTTGTAAAAGAAGATGAGGCTCTATGCATCCCGACTCCACCATCCTGGAGCAGCCAACTTTTCTTTGGACATTGACGTGCGAGGTGCTGATAAGCTAAACGCCTAAAAGCACAGTCGTTCTGCAGTGCAACCCATCATCGCCTTTCGCTGAACCTATAAGTCGGGCTTAAGTCTTCCCGTTACGCTAACTTGGATCATTCAGTTCTTAATCATGACATGTAGGTTTGAGCAATGAGCAACCATGGCATGTAAGTTTGCCATGCATCACACCATGCAGTTTGCAACAAGTCAACACCGTAGTCATCAGACTATGTGGTGATCAATAACAAAACAACCAATAACAACGTTTCTATTTATCAATAAATGGTAGTGGAATGTACGGCTTAAGAATGGACATTCTTATAAAAAGTAGCTTACTGGAGATCAGTGTCAGGAAACACATGTTAAGGATAAACTGCAGACGCATATTTTCTTAATTAGCGGCATGACCGAGCATTTCGCTGCATCGATTTCGCACTGAGCTTTCAGCTTTCTCGCCTTTTCAGCGTCCCCTTCCCTGTGTCCAGTGACGCCGCCATGTCCCGTGACGTATCAGTGGCGCCGCCGTGTCCTGTGACGTATCAGTGACGCCGCCGTGTCCTGTGACGTACCAGGGACGCCGCCGTGTCCTGTGACATACCAGTGACGCCGCCGTGTCCTGTGACGCATCAGTGACGCCGCCGCGTCCTGTGACGTATCGGTGACGCCGCCGTGTCCTGTGACGTATTGGTGACGCCGCCGTGTCCTGTGACGTACCAGCGACGCCGCCGTGTCCTGTGACGTACCAGTGGCGCAGGACGCTGATAGGCAGCGGACAAGTGATTGTCACACCTGTAACTGCCACAGGTAACTGTCACAATGTCTGTCTGACTGTCACAGTGACTATCCGACTGACTGGCGCAGATAGCCGATGCAGTTGGCGCGCCCTTGAAACCCAATAACCAACTGACCCTGTCACGTGACTGCAAAACAGTTTAATGAATCTCCTGTCGCTTCCCATCGTAAAATGTGAAAAGCAGATTCCGCACATGTGCCGCAAGCCTTCATGACCCGCAAAAATGCAATACATGCTCTCTCCACCTTCCGAGTGCTGCGCACGCCACTGCACCGCCCGTGCAGCTTGACCTGCACGGCTGACCCGCATCCGTGAGGTAACGCGCGCGGCGTCTCGCTTCGCTGGCGTCGGCCGGCAAACAAACCATCAAAACGGCCGCCGCCGGTCGCGTGAAGAGAAGCCGGCAGCGGCCGAGAGTCTCTCCACGGTGCCACCTGCACTGTACCGGCGATCGAGAGAGTCTCTCCGTGCCGCGCCACCTGCACCGCTCAGCCATCGAGAGTCTCTCCACCGTAGCCGCGTCCGGGAGAGGGCGGCGCGCGCGCGCGCCGGCCGGGCCGTGAACCCTGCGACGCGCCGTCTGGAGACGACGGGCCAGGGGCGGTGGCGGCGGAGCATGGACGTGGGGGGGAGGGGTGGACAGTGGGATTACAGGAAGCGGTGTGCCTCCCCGCCCCCCCCCCCCCCCCCAGGCGCTGGAATGCGAGCCGGGTGGGAGGTAGTCCACCCACCTCAGCAGAACGTTAGCAGAACCTTCGCAGATGCACCGT